AAAAAAAAAAAAGAGAGAGAGAGAGAGAAACCTCTGAGGAGTAACTGTCCCCTAGTTCCCATTCTCATTTCTCCAACTCATTACATTCTCCATGAAGCTAAAGTTCTCACCCTTTCCAGAAAGAGGCAGGCAGTTTCTGTCCTGTACACTTGCTTTTTCCTCTAGCAGAGCACCCTTCCTTTCCCGATTGCCCCTCTGACATAACTGACCTGAGGACAGAATGAAGCCAGGTCATGCCTCATGAGTCAGCTCTGCTCCCTGCAACTGGCCCCCTTAAGTCTGTGACTTGACACATATCCTCTTCCCCTTTCTTGCTCCCCTCTGAGATTACTCCAGGCACACCCACTCCAACTTGGCACAGTGCCCCAGAACTCGAGAAAACTAGCATCACCTGTCCCTTTTCCCGCATAAAACTTGTTAAAAGAACCTGCAGGGCTGTGTGCCCTCTGGAGGGATTCCACACACCCACTTCACCCTGGCAAATAGGAAACTGCCAAGCAGGGGACAAGGAGCAAAGTCCTGGACAGGGGGAGGAAACCAGTCCCTACAGAGGCCAGGCAGAGGGAAGAGTCCAGTGCCCCGTCGGAAGTGCCATTCAGAACTGGTCTGCCATGGACGTCCTTGTCCGACTCCTGCAGCTGCTGGTGCTGTTCCTGACGCTGCCCCTACACCTGATGGCTCTGCTGGGCTACTGGCAGCCCTTGTGCAAAAGCTATTTCCCCTACCTGATGGCCCTGCTGACCACGAAGAGCAACCGCAAGATGGAGAGCAAGAAACGGGAGCTCTTTAGCCAGTTAAAGGAGCTTCAGGGAGCCTCCGGGAAGGTGGCCCTGTTGGAGCTGGGCTGTGGAACTGGTGCCAACTTCCAATTCTACCCACCTGGCTGCAGGATCACCTGCCTGGACCCAAATCCCCACTTTGAGAAGTTCCTGACAAAGAGCATGGCTGAGAACAGGCACCTCCAATATGATCAGTTTGTGGTGGCTCCTGGAGAGGACATGAAGCAGCTGGCTGATGGCTCCATGGATGCGGTGGTCTGCACACTGGTGCTGTGCTCTGTGCAGAGCCCCAGGAAGGTCCTGCGGGAGGTCCGGAGAGTGCTGAGGCCGGTGAGCAGAACGGGAGGCAGAGGGTGTAGGGCATCAGGGCCCCAGACAGGGAATAGATGTACAAGCTCATCAGAAGTCCCAACCACCCCTACCTGTGGGTGAGCAAGAGACATGACCAGTGCCACCTGGACCCCAGAGGGTGCAGTGGGAGCTGCAGGAGAATCACCTACCATGGTGGGTGGGGGTGGGGAAGATGCCTGAGGGAAGGCCATTCAAATCAAGATCCAGGGATTGAGCAGGTGAGGGGGGTTGTAGGGAAAATGAGTGTTCGAGAGGTAAGATTTCAAGCTGGCTGTGGAAAGAAGGGAGTTGAGGTTGGTTTCCAGATTCCTGGCATGAGTGGCTGAGGAAGCAGTGGATGGAAGAAACCTGTTTAGGGCTTGTTAGGTCAGAGGTGCTACTGAGACAGCCAAGCAGAGAAGCCACATAGATAGTCAGAAGTCCAGACCTGGGAGTCAGAAAAAGATGTAGCCCAGAGAGAGAGATCCAAACATCACACATGGACAGCTTGCAGCTGGTCATTCAGAGCGTGGGCAGGACTGAGGTCACCTGGGGAGAGTATTTGGGGGGAAAGAGCTTGAGGTTTCCCTGGGATGTTGGGGAGCTGTCCGGGAAGAAGCCGATGTTTACACCCGAGTCTCAGCAGAAAGGTTGGTGCCTGCATCTCTGTGCACACCAAATCCTCGGCGCCTGTTCTCAGTCTCCCCTCTGTGTGCTCTCAGCTATTCAGGCAGCCTGAAAGATCTCTAGCCAGCCGGGCCCCTCGGTTCTATACACACACTGAATGGGAGGGTGGTGGCATGAGATGCCTGAGTGGTCAGGAGCAGGACCAGCTCTCAGCCCAGCAGCTCCCACTTCATCCTCAAGTTGACCCAGCTTGATCAGCATGATAAAACTGAGGTTGGAGAAAGGACAGCATGGAACAGATAAGTGACATCCACTCTCTCCTTCCTCCCAGGGAGGAGTGCTGTTTTTCTGGGAGCACGTGGCTGAACCACGTGGCAGCTGGGCCTTCATGTGGCAGCAAGTTCTAGAGCCCACCTGGAAGCACATTGGGGATGGCTGCTGCCTCACCAGAGAGACCTGGAAGGATCTGGAGAATGCCCAATTCTCTGATGTCCAAATGGAACGACAGCCCCCTCCCTTCAAGTGGCTCCCTGTTGGGCCCCACATCATGGGAAAGGCTGTGAAATAACCTCCCCAACCCAAGGCAATCATTTGCTCCCTCTGCACCAGCCTCATGTCTCCCACAGGTGGGGGTCTGGTAGAAGAATGAGAGAAGCGCTCCCCCCACCACCCCAGTCCCTCTGTCCCCCACCTCTGCTGGGGGAAGCTCTTACCTTCAGTCCCTCCTTCCACAGTAAAAGAGCCCTACTCCTACCCTGACCAGAGGGAGGAAAGAGTTAACCCTGCTGTGTCCTTCACTGCAAATCCCGGGACAGTTAACCCACTATTTGCCCACCACCTTTCCTTTCTTCCCATGGTAAAGGTCCCCCTGCCTTCCTCTGAAGCCTCTAGAACCAGTCACAAAAGTCATGGTCCACGCATCCTTGCCAGGCCCCCTGACCCTCCCTCCCCACTGCCGCCATCATCCTGAGCCAGGGGAGTCAGTGACAGTCAGGTAAAGAGACCCTGGGGTAAGGAGCAAGATTCAGTAAAGAAGCCAGAGTTTTTGTCCTCAAATATTTTTTAATAAATAGACAAAACCCACTAGAGTGATACAGCAAACTAAGGTCGGGGATGGGGAACTCGGGTGGGAGGAGTCCCTGAGTCAGCGACACAACCTCCTCCCCGACCCTCTAGGCTAAGGCACTTTCGAGGAGATAGGTCCTTGGGGTCCTTTAATACAGGGTGATGGGAAAGGGGGGATTAGGATCCCATCTCCCCACCTTTGCATCAGGACATCCCTGCCCCTCTCACCCTACCCCTCAGCCCCACCTAACCCTGATTTATGCCCTCTCATCTCACAGCATCCTAAGGGAAAGCTGGGGGGCAGGAGTTCTCACGGGTGGGAGAGGGCTGCGCCCCTGAGGAAGCAGATCCTGCCAAATCTTAATATGATATGAGCAACCCATTCTACCCTCTTCACCCAGGGAAGGAGTGGAGGGGACCCATAGGCCAGGCTGGACAGAGGATGCTAAGCAGTGCCTGGCATGGGATGCCCATCAGCAGCTAGGATGGGGTGTGCGTCGGGGCCCTCCCGCCGGGGGCTGCCCCAGTTGTTCCTCAAGATGGTGCCCGTCTTCTCCTCCTTGAACTGCTGTCGGTCTTCCCGGGGAATCTTCACTGCGTGGTACTGGGGCACGGTGGCCTCGGGGTACTTCGCCCGCTTGAAGAATCCCATCTGTAAGGACACCAGGCTAGACCATGAGGAGCTGGCTGTGGCCCCTGGAGCAGACACCAGCACAGCCCAGCTCCTTGCCCTCACCAGCCCTGGCACAGGAAGAAAGGCAGTGGGCAGTCCCCAAGATGCCACCATCCATGCTGTACACCCAGATTCTCATTCATAGCGAGAGAAAGACCAGGAGGGGGTCCACAGTGCAGGACCAAGGACATCTTCCTCGGCCCCTGAAAGAGGGTCTTAAAGGTGAAAGGCCCCCTAAAGCAGGCATCCTCAAACTATGGCCCACGGGCCACATGTGGCCCGCAGAGGACATTTATCCGGCCCGCCGGGTGTTTTTGCCACCACTGCCTGTCCTGCTTAGCAGCTGACTCATCCCGGGGCCTGCAGTCTGGCCCTCCAATGGTCTAAGGGACAGTGAACTGGCCCCCTGTTTAAAAAGTTTGAGGACCCCTGCCCTAAAGGTTTCCACCCATCCAGTCTTCTGGACCCAGTAGCATCCCCCAGAACATAAGATCGGAGGAAGAAAATGGCTTCCCAGAGCCCTGCATATCTGGAACAATGCCTCCCGAGTATCACACACACAAACACATGTTCTTGTACACCAAGCAGCATCCCTCTTAGAGCATGGCCCTCTCATCCATGAATATGGCAGTCTATGCCCTCCCTAAGTCAGGACCATCCCAGCCCTTGTATACCAAGGTGGCAGTGTGCCCCTTACACACTCACACTTAGGACTGCCCACAACTCCTACATGCTCAGACTGTGCGGCATCTCCTTGCACACCCATCTCTGCACACTCATGCCCACAGAAAACGGGTGCATAGGGTCTCCCAACAGTCCCACATGCTCACACTCCACAGCCACCCTGCCCATTGTGCATGCCCCAGGCTGGGCATACTCACCCTCCAGCCTCACCCTTCTGGAACTTCTCGCCTCAGTGCCTAAGACACACATCACTCTCATGCAATCACATTTCTTCACCCTGCCGGTTCCTAATCCCTTGAATGCTGGGAGCTCCACTTATATACATACATACCCATCCACACACAGATACATGCACACACAAATACACATGCACACACACAACAGTTACCCCACGGTCCCTGGACCCCCAACTTCCACAGCTGAGGGTTGCACAGCCAGATGTGCCCGGTAATAGTTGGTGGGAAAAGATGAGCTCTGGCTGCTCCGATGGAAGAAGCCACACTGGGAAGTCGGGGTGGAAGGGACAGAGGAGGCAGTGGATGGGAAGACTGAGGAAGGAAGAGGCCCCTCTCTCTGCTCTGTCTCCCTTACATGGAAGCAGGGAGCAGGGATCCTGGGGCCATTCCACAAAGGCATCAATCTTCCCTAAGATAGCCTGGATGCCACTCTGGAGCTGGTCCACTGATGACTCACACTTGCCAAAGGGTAGGGGAGGGCACAGTTCTCCATAGAGCCCAAGGACATGCAAGGGTTTTCCCACGTCCCCCAAACATGGCATGTGGCTCAGGGTATGATCTCTGATGAGGTGTATGATTCCTTATACTGACATGTGCATGTGTGTGCTCTTTTGTTGAGCCCCAGATACCAACAGGATTCAGCATACAGCTCAGCATGTACAAGAATGGTTCCACGTGGAGCCTGGTCTATGCACGTTCTGAGTTCTGCCCTGGAGGCAGCTGTCCACGTCTGTGGGCCTTCTTGGCCACAGTGACCTTTCCAGGCTTCACTACCACATCCTACTTAGATCAGACTGTACTTCCCTGCCTCTGTGACATCCGGAAGGCTCAGCCCCCACTGCCCCCCATCTCCCTACATCCAGGCCCTACTACTGCACCTTTCTCTGAGGCCCAGCTCCAGCATTGCCACTCATTAGGTCTGCCTTCCTCTGAACTCACACTGCATTTTCTTTTCTCTTTTTTTTTAGAGACAGTTTCACTTTGTCACCCTCAGTAGAGTGCTGTCACGTCACAGCTCACAGGAATCTCTACTCTTGGCCTTAGGTGATTCTCTTGCCTCAGCCTCCTGAGTAGCTGGGACTACAGGTGCCCGCCACAATGCCTGGCTACTTTTGGTTACAGTTTGGCAGGGGCTGGTTTTGAACTCACCACCCTTGGCATATGAGGCCAGTGCCCTACTCACTGAGCCATGGGTGCTGCCCCTCTTTTTTTTTTTTTTGAGAGAGAGTCTCAAGGTATCACCCTGGGTTGAGCTGGGTTGAGTGCTGTGGCATCATTGCTCACAGCAACCTCCAACTCTTGGGCTTAAGCAGTTTTCTTGCCTCAGTTTTTCTATTTTTAGTAAAGACGGGGTCTTGCTTTTTGCTCAGGCTTGTCTTGCCTTGGCCTCCCATCACACTGCATTTTCTCGACTCATCATCTGCCTTTTCCTTGACCACAGGCACACCATTCCCACTACAAAGGCCCTGAGGACAAGATCTGCATCTGACTTATCTTTGAGACATCATTAAGAGGCCTAATAGAGTTCCTGGCACAGGCAGGGCAGGTATGTAATGCAGATTTGCTAAATACATGAGTGCGTGGGCAGGTGAGAGAACCTTAGTGCAACTAACAGGCTGCCTGCGGAACCTGGAGGTCTGGCCCCATCAGTCCCACACCACCCACAAGCCTCACCTTCCACAGCAGCAGCACCAGCAGTGCCAGCACTAGCAGCCCAGCCAAGACAGCCAGGAGGATGACCCACCAGGGGACTCCTTCTGCCACCACAGCCATGGGGTCCAAGTATACCATCACTGGGATCTAGGGAGCAAGGGGTTAAGGAAGTAAGAGCTGGAGGGGGCAGGAAGGAAGAGAGTTCCCCTCACCCACCAGCCCTGGAGCTCACCACTGTGGAGGCATCTCTGAGCAGCAAGTTCTTGATAGAGGACTTAACCGTGATGTTGGCTCGGACAATCACTTCCAGCGACTTCACAGCTGAGTATTCCTAAAGGGGTTGGGACAGAGACCCTCCTGCTGAATGCTCTCATCTCCCTTCCTCCTGAAATTATAAATGGAATGGTGCCCAACACAGAGGGTATTTCTGCCTGGCTTGTGTTGAGAGTCCAGCTGCATTTGGACAGGCAGGAAGCAGGAGAGGTGAGCCCCAAAAGGGCTGTGGGGGATAAAGTAACCCAAACTGGAGCCCCAGGGGTGTTCTCACCTCCAGAAAGGTGCTGTTCCAGAGGCGGCCCCAGACGTGCAGCACAGCCACACGGTCGAACGTGTACAGTGGGCAGCTGAACACCACACAGTTGGCTGTGCCCCGAGCGCAGTCCTAGGGATGAGGACAGACAGGGCTCTACACGGCTCAGCCCTCCTCTGCCGATCCTGCCATCTCTCAAACTCCCCTCCTCTAGGAAATCTTCCCAAACTAACCCCTGGTCCAAAATAGCCACCACCCCAAATCTGAGCTATGTGGCTTTGAAATGTGTGGGGGACATGACAGCGGCGGGCAGAGCAGCTTCTCCAATTGATGCTCATGTTACCTAATGACAGTCCCATTTGCTGAGCACCTACAACTGGCCACTTACACTATTTAAGCTTTACAACAGTCCTACAAGGTGCATCGTACTATCCCCCCATTTTTCAAACAAGAAAGTTGAGGGCCATGTAGGCCGAGCAACCTGCCTCAGATCACAGAGCTGGCAAAGCTAGTAAGTGGTGGAGCAGATATTTAAACTCAGGTCCACAGTCATCAAAGCCACACCTGAGCCCAAATTCACTGAAGGGGGAGGAGGCCGTTCCTGGAGCTGCTGGGGCCAAATCCATGGGGCCCAACCACCATCTAATGACACATTTGCCTGAGAGTTATGTTATATTCATCACACTACAATCCACATACAGAAGAATGGCTTTGAGAGCTTTGAATTCTTTGTCATGTTTTATTTTGCCACTTTTGAGCCATTCAAGAAGCCTTAGTCAAACTGTCTAAAAATCAAGGCTTTCTGCCTTCGTTGTATATCAAAGAACCTATTTTAGAAATTTATGTTAAGTGAAATAAGCCAGACTCAGAAAAATAAATACTGAATGATCTCACTTATATGTGGAATCTAAAATGTTGAACTCATAAAAGTAAAGATAAAAATGGTGGTTACTTAGGACTGGGGGATTTAGCGGGGTTGGGGAGATATTAGTCAAAGGGCATAAAGCTTGGACTTATTCAGGAATAATAAGTTCAAGAGATCTATTATATAATAGGATGACTATGGTTAATAACACTATATTATGTACTTGAAAATAACAGAGAATAGATTTAAAATATTCTCACCACAAGATATGTGAGGTTGGTGCATATGTTAATTAGCTCAATCTAGTCATTCCACAATGTAGACTATGTCAAAACATCATGTTGGATGGCACCTATGGCTCAAAAGGGTAGGGCACCAGCCCCATGTGCCAGAGGTGGTGGGTTCAAACCCAGCCCTGGTCAAAAATAAACAAATAAGTTTTAAAATTTCAAAGTTCTTATTAAAAAGGGAGGCCTCTCAAAGGAAATCAGTCCTGTGGAGAGGGCAGGACCACTCAGACCACAGAACAATAGCAATTACACAGGTTCGTACACCCGATTCATGACATACTCCCTGGGGATGGGGATGCTAGAGCCCCAGAGGAGAGGCAGCCAGCCCCAGAGTGCCCCGCTGCTTACATGCCCCTGCCACAGTCTCCTCCTTGACCTCGTGGCTCTATTGCTCACCCCTCTGGCCTGGGATTTGCCTCCACCTCCTAACAGCTAGGCTCAATGCCCTCTTTTTTTTTTTTCTTTTAAACAGAACCTGGTTCTGTCTCTCAGGCTAGAAATGCAATGGGGTCATCATAGCTTACTAAAACCTCAAATTTCTGGGCTCCAGCAATCCCCCTGTCTCAGCCTCCTAAGTAGCTGAGACCATGTACACCACCATGCCCAGCTAATTTTTCTATTTTTAGTATAGATGGGGTCTCACTCTTGCTCAGCCTGGTCTTGAACTTCTGCCCTCAAGCAATCCACCCATCTCAGCTTCCCAGAGTGCTAGGCTTATGGGCGTGAGCCACCTCGCCCAGCCAAATGCCCTCCTAATCTCCATTCCCACCACATTCTCACTGCCAGTCCCATCCTAGAAGGGAGGAGCACAGAGCAGCTACCAATTTGCTCTATATTTCCAACTAAAAAACAAAACTCTATGAAGCCAGTAGGAAAAGGAGAAGCAAAACTGCTCAAAAGGGATAGACTTAATGAATCACATACAATATATTGTCATTTTCATTATTAGAACTTTTAAACTCGTAGTGCTTTTGACATTGTGAAAATCGAGCATATGTCCTGACTCAAACTGAATTTTTTTTTTCCCAAGAGTTCAAAAGAACAATGAACAAAACTCAAAATTTGAGGACAGACTAACCCCATCCCATCTCCTTTAAGATGTAATGCTTTATAAAAAATGTGAGGAGAAAAAAAAAATGTGAGGAGATGGCGGCACCCGTAGCTCAGTGGGTATGGTGCCAGCCATATACACCAGGGCTGGCAGGTTTGAACCGGGCCCAAGCCAGCTAAAGAAATAATGACAGCTGCAACAATAACAACAACAAAAAAAATAGCCAGGCATTGTGGGGGGCACCTGTAGTCACAGCTACTTGGGAGGCTGAGGCAAGAAAATTGCTTAAGCCCAAGAGTGTGAGGTTGCTGTGAGCTGTGACACCACGGCACTCTACCCAGGTGACAGCTTGACTCTGTCCATAAAATAAAAATACAATAATGTGAGGAGAATCCATGTTTGGCTAACTGGCTGTAGGCCAAGTGCCCTGCTTTGGAGTGAGCACTTGTAGGAGACAGGGTGGACATGTGGCATCTACCTCCCAGATGCGCCCTCCTAGGAGTTGTGATGTGAACAGTCTAATCAACTTGCCCCAGACATGTAACCATCACACTTCATAACAGGCCACCCTCCCTGGACTCCCACCATCTTGGAGCTCTGTGCTCCCAGACATCTTCTGTCATACCACACAGCCCCATTCTGGCTTCACCGAGTTTCCCCACCCTCACCAGGGTAATGTTCTTCCTCTTCTCAACAGAGGACACTGGCCACCAAGATGTGCTGGGCTCTGGCTGCTCACGAGACTCCTGCAGCTCTGGTGGCTCCAGCTCCCGCCGCCTCCGATCCCTGCTGTCTACATCCTAGATATAGGAGGGAAGGCCTAGCAAGTGACCCTCCAAACGCAGCAATCCTTTCCTCCCCAGCCTTGCCTCTTGGCTTATACCCCTAACACACTGCCTGCATCCTGTGTCGTCCCTCCCAATGTCTAATCTCCACCCTCTCACCTCCCTCCCTCCCACTCCTCCATCCCCCCCACCCATCTAAACCTCACCAGGTGGAGAATGTTGGGCCTCGGGGAACAGAGTCCTTTCTGCCCGGGCCCCTGCCCACCCTCCAGTTCCACTCGCATGGGGTACAGCAGCCACTTCCCATTGGCAATCTCATGGGGCCACATGATGTTAAGGAAGGCAGAGCCCAGGGTGTTGAGCGACTGGCCTTGGTTGGAGACCTGTAGGCACAAGAGTATGAGGACTGGGAGCTCAGTTTTCCAGCAGACCTTGAATCAACAACGATGGAAGTGATAAAGGCGGAGGGCAGGGCCCTTGGGAAGCAGAATTTCACAAAGATTCAGGACCCTAAAGCCCACCAGGCACTGTTCTCTCCCCAGACCAAACCCAGCAACACCTGGAGGTGTCCCTGGAGGTGTGAGGAGAGGCCGCAGCAAGGGCAGAGTTCTAGGAAGAGACATCCACCCGCCCCATGTTCCCATTCCCCAGGGGAGAAGCTTCCCTGGGCTCTCATGGGCTCCCAGACCAGCAGGTGAGATAGCTAGACAGAAGTGACCAGGAAATGGTCACCTGAGACCCCAGCACAAGTAGCTGCCCACAGCCAGGGTCCAGGTGCAGGGCAGAAGCCTTTAACTCACTGGACAACCACAATGCCACACAGACCTTAGGACTTGGCTCCACCTGTCCTCTGTGCCAAGGACAGAGGGGGACCTTGGAGGGGCCACATCCAAGACACTTACCGTGACCTCATACTTGACCTTGCTGCCCACATCACGCTCAGACCGCATGGCTGCCTCACCCCTCACCACCCCAGAGAAGAAGAGTTGCTGGGGAGTGGCCACCCTGGCATGGAGGGGTCAAAACAGGGATGAGGACAGGTGTCAGGAGGCCAAGTAAAGCAGAGCTAGCCCAGGGCTGGGAGTGGGGATGACCCCTCCCTTCCACAGAGGTGCCCACCTGGGCAGGGCTTACCCTGCAATGGACAGTGGCAGCTCAATAAACACCCGTGCCCGAGCGGAGATGGGATGGAGCTCCTGCTCACTGATCCTGGCGGGTGAGCAGGGGCAAATGTGGGCAGCAGGCACAGGTACTCCCAAAAGGCTCAGATGAAACTGATCTAACTGCCCCCACATCACCCCTCTTGGCCCCACCAGGCTTACGTGGCCAACAGCAGCCCCACCTCCAGCTCCGTGGTCTCAATGGTGATCCCTGAGGTGCTGAGGATGAGGTAGAAGGTGACCTAAGCCAAGGGTGGAGGGAGATTAGAATCAGGGGAGGGCCAAGGACTCAAACAGAGATGCCTCAGATAGGGATATGGGCAGACAAGCCAACCTGGGCACCTCTCTTCATGGGGTTCCCCAGCTCACACTCGACATGGGAGGCATTCTCATTAGACAGGCAGAGTGGCTTCTCCTGGAGTTGAGGAAGAGGAGGGGTCAGGCTGGGTCGCTGCAGCCCCTCAAGACCCCACCCCACCTACACAGGTCCTCACCGCAGGGTCCAGGCCCCGAACCCCTGAGTAGTGCAGCGAGGCCGGGAGGGTGACCAGGAGCTGGGCCTCATGGGCATCATCCCCATCAGCCTGTGGCCGGGCAGGATCTGAGGGCAGGTTGGTAACCACTAGCTCCAGGCCAAGGACTGGCTGCCCGCTCAGTGCAAACAGAGCTGTCATCCCATCGGCATCCCTAGAGAGTCAGACCCACTCGCTTTGAGTTCTGGACACTTTCCCCAGTCTGCACCTGCCTCACCCTGCCTTCATGCACCAGGCCCCTGCCTCCATGGCCCAGGTTCCTCCTCCCACACCAGGCCCTCCCTCCTCCCTTCCCCACACCACCCAAGTCTCGGGTCTCTCCATGCATGACTGGAGTCAGGGGACTGCCCTTCTCCTCCCCATTCCACCACTCACTTCCCTTGGTCAAGTAACTAAACCTCCCTGTAAAATGGGACTGATAATATTACTTTCCACCTCACTGAAGTGTACCGACTGTACACCGTCAGACGTGCTAGGAGGGACTGCTATTGCTTGCCAGGGCAGCCCTGCGGCTCCGTCACCTCCTCACCTCACAGTCTCCTGAATCATCAGCAGGTCCTCTCTAGCCTTTCGCCCTCTCAGCCCCTCCCTCTGCCTAGTCCTTCTGTGGAGACTTCCTTTCACTCCTTGAACTCGTGCCCTCCCACCCCAAATGCTCCCTGCCCCTCCTCACATGGGCAGAGGTTGGAATTCCGTGTCGCTGACCCGGGTGCAGAAGCGGGCACGGACCAGCTGCAGGTTGCTCTGGCAGACCTTGTCTTCACCACAGCCTTGCTTCAGGAAGTGGATCTGGGGAGAGATGTGAGGAGGGATCATTCCTAGGTGGGGAGGCAGGGGGCAAAGGTGTCACCAAGGCATATGGTGGCTGAGAAGATCACAGGATCAAACAGCCTGTGTCCAACTCTCAGATCTGCTGCTTACTAGCTGTGCAATATTGAGCTGGTTGCTTAACACTCTGAGCCGGGCCCTCATCAGTGAAACGATGGAAGTACGACCATGCTGCAGCAGAGACTAGCACCCCGCAGGGGCTCAACAAACAAGGCCGGTCTGCAGCTAGACCACGTCCCCCCAGCTCACTTGCAGTAACCAAATTCCAGATTTACAACATGAAGAAAAATGAAGAGCACACAGATGGGCTGCCCAGGGGGTCCCACAAGGAGCTTCACCTCGCCCTTCCAGATGGATGAAGGTGACTGATGGAGCTTGCAGGCCAGACTCCCATCAGCCTGGCCCCCTGAGTGACTACATGAGGTGGGACAGCGCTGGCCCCACTAACTAGGAACATGTGATCATTGGGCCCCTGGAAGGAGGTACTGGGGTAGCACCTGTGATAGAGCTCTGCAAGCTATGAACTGGTGTCACTGAGGACAGGCTGTGATCACCACCCCTCCCAGCTCCCTCTCCTGAGCTAAGCCAGAAGCCAGGCTCACCTCTGCCCGATGGGTGCTGGGCTGGTGGGCATTGAGGATGGGGGTCACTGGGGGTAGCCCCTGGCCAGGAGCCTGTCGCCGGAGCCGAGGGGTCTGGAGACTATAGGACAAAGTCACCACAATGGCCCGAAGCTTGTCTTTCACATTCTCCTGGGAAGGAGAAAGATTGTTCCTCTCTGGAGCAATTCCCCAGGCCCCAGCCCTGCCCAAATCCCCAGCCAGACCTAGAAATGATTCTGGAACATGGAAAAAAGCTTAGGGAAATTAAAAACAGAAGGAGAACTGAGCAATCAAGAAGGAGAAAGATTGGGGTAGGAAAGGGAGGAGACCAAGGAACTGGGCTTTGAGGATGAGCTGTGATGATGGAAGCTGCCATCTCCACCTCCAGGGAGTGCAGAACCCGACAGGAGATGCAAGAGGGTAGCAGGTGAGGAGGAGGTGAGCTCAGAAGAGAGCTTTCCAAAAGTCTACAGCGGTGATTTTCAAGTAGGGTACCACAGCACACTAGTGTGCCATGAGAAGATCTTAGGTGTGCCTCAAAAAATTGTAAAGATCATTAAATTATTTTTCCAGAGAAGTGGAGAGGTACAAAAGGTTGGAAAACACTGGTCTAGTTCTTCAAATGAGCCACAAGTATGATCGGGAAGAAGAAGCTACAAGGAATCAAGGAACAGAGATCATGCCATGACAATGACCCTCAGAGGCCAAGGTGTCAGGGTCCACCTGTAGCTGGAACATGGTGTCTCCACAGGCTCGGTCATGCTGGTGCTTTAGCCACACGGTGCCCGAGGCTTGATGCTTGGGGTCATCTGGGCTACGGCTCAGGAAGGTCACACGGGGGACCTGGCCCCGGAGCCTCCGGTCTGTGTCCCCGTCTAACACATAATCCAGAGCTGGGACATGTTGGGAAAGGAGGGGAGCCAGTGAGCTGTGGAACTGCTCCAGCTGACCCCATCCCCAAAGTTTTCTTCTCTCCACCTTGGAGGGACATGTCCTGGAAACCCACTGTGGTGAGCAGTGGGTAGGGGACCTCACTCACCCACAATAGGGCTGTAGCTGCTGGGGGTCGCAATGTAACTGAAACAGATCCTTAGGTCCACACTATGGGGCAAAGGGTGGCTCCTGAGTGAGTCAGAAAAGGGATGGGCCAAGGCCCCAAACCCCATCCCACCCACTCCCAACATAGCCCCAGCCTCCAGCCTCCTGGGGAAAGAAAAGGAGAACGCGGGATGGGGGAACCAGGCCAGGGCACTTCACCTGCCCTCCCCTCAGATCCCATCTCACCAGACCAGGTGGCCACCAGCACAGTTGGGCTGCTCTAGGTCAATGGCTCGTGGAGCAATAAAGACCTCATGGGAGACATGGAGAACAGGTCTGGCCCTGAGGGAGTGGAAGTCAAAGGCAAAAGAAACATGAGAATGAGAGGCTAGGAAACACTTCAGCGTCAGATTTGACACTGGAGTAAGGTCAGAGTCACAGGGCGGGCTCATGGCCTTGCCTGGAGAGGAGAAGGCAGAAAAGAGGGGAGGAACTCACCTGAAAAGCACAGCGGTGTCAGCCAGAGAGCCCACCAGCAGGTCGGGATAATGGTTCCCATCAACATCCAGGCCACCTGAGAGCGAGTAGCCAAAGCTCCGGATGCCCACGGCCTCACCCTCCAGCACCTATGGGACCAGCGCTCAGCCTCCCCAGCCTCTGCCTGCCCCCATTCCACAGCACCCATTCCCCAGACCCACAACTCCCCTCACCTGTGAAGGCTTGGTGACAACCCCCAGGCTGCTCCCGTGGTAGATAAAGACCTTCCCATCCCCATCAAAGGGAGCACCCACAGCAATATCTGCAGGGCGTGGGGAAAAGGCAATCACTGGCTGGGGATGGCAGATGAGGCCCAGGCCTCAACTTTCCCTCAGTCACTCAGTCCTATTTTATTGAGAGGCTACTAAGTCCAGGCACCTTATAAACATCCTGTTTAATTCTCTCAGCTCCTCTCGCAGGTTACTAGCTCAAAAAGGTAACACAACCTGCCCAAGGTCAGGAAGCTAGGAAATGGTAAAGTTCAGAGGGAGGTAAGCCCAGTCTCCTTCTCTTCCTGAGCCCTCTGAAAACCATCCCTGCCCCTCTCCCTCCCTCCACTGAGCCTTTCCAGTTCCCAGTCACACCTGTGAAGCCATCTTGGTTGAGGTCCCCTAGAACAGCCAGGCTGATCCCAAACATGGAGTCTGGTGAACCACAGAGCCGGAGAGGGGAGATCCCAGCCCAGTGACCGCCCTGGTTCAGGTATACATATACAGCACCCCCCAGCTCTTCTTGGCGCTCAAAGAAGTAGGGGGCACCCACTATCAGGTCTGGCCAGCTATGGAGAGAAAGACTGTCAGAACACAGTCCTTCCTGGCCAAAGAGCCAAAAGGAGATGCCAGAGGCCACCCCCTGGCTCCTTGATCCAGCCCCATATCAGGCTGCACTCCCTCCTGCCCACTCACCCATCGTTGTTGAGATCGGCCACAGCCAGCGAGTAGCCAAAGCCAGAGGTCAGGCGCTCCCCAGACAGCATAACTTCAGGCACCAGGCGACTGGCACTGTCCTTGCGCAGAATGACCACAGCACCCTTGTGGTTGGCACGGGGGGCCCCTGCCACAAAGCTCAGCTCTTCTGCACGCACCAGACCCTTCCCAGAGTCGATGGAGAAACCTAGGTGGGAGGGTGACTTACCGGTAAGTGTCCTGTAAGACTCAGAAGCCAGGATGCGCTACAGCTTCCCCCACCACTGCAGGCCCCGAGCCAAAAGAAGGAGGTGCCCGCAAGTCATCAGCACCACAGCTGGACCACTCTTCCTCCCCTCTAGGGGCCCAGCACCCCCCACACCTGCCAGGCCAGAGACCAGTTTGGCATAAATTAGGTCAGCCTCAGGGACGAGGATGGAGAGAAAAAGGCCATGACCGAGAAGGCCAGGAGACTGGGCAGGAGCTGAGCCAAGGCCCACCACACCCATACCCAGCGACCTAGAGGTGCGACTGCTCCCTTCCCCATCTACACACCCAAGGAAGCCCCAATCCCATCCAATGCACCCTCTTTGTCCCGTCTCCCACCATCCTGGCAGGGAGAAGAATCTTCACGTGGATGAGGGGAGACAAAGGGAGTAAGGAAGAGCTCGCTTCACCCAAACATCTCCCAGGTTTTGTTTCCTCCTCTGCAGAGGGGTGCAGATGAGACAACAAGAGGGACTTACCAACAACACCAGACCTTTTTCTAGCATGTGCCCACCATCATCCATCCCTCAGGGAAAATCCCCCTAGAGGTCAGGACCCCCCTTCCCAGCTTAGCCTCATCCCTGGCCTCAGGTCACCTGGATCTTCCCCCATGGAGACTCCCTACTCGTAGCCCTGAGCCTATCACTCTTGCCTCCTCTTCTCAGGCCTGGTCACTAGACTCTGGTCTTCTCTAATTTGGGCCCAATGTGTGATTCCCTGGGTGTGTGTTGGAGGCCAAGGACTACAGGACAGGAAAGGATGCATTCCCTGGGGGAGGGGAGAGGCCAGGGCCATGCACCCCGGGCCCAAAGGTGGGAGCTTACAAACCTAAGTAGCTATTCAGGGCCAAGTCTCTGGCTGGTCCTGGGAGCCGGTCAGCAGGGTCCAAAGTTTTATACACCAGCTGGTCAGGGTCTGAGCTATCAATGTTGGTCACAAAAAGCAACCCTGTGCGGGGAGGGGAGGTGGAGGGACACACCAGGGAAGGGACATCCAGAGTAGGGACCACATAGTAGAGAGACAGAAAGGCCAGAAGGAGAAGGTGGCAGAGGAAGAGGTTGAAAAAGAAAATAAGAAAAACAGAGAGACCAGAGAGATAAGAGTCAGAGACAGAAAGAGACAGGGTGAGAGATCGACAGAGACGGAAGGACGGGAGTGTGGAGAGGGAGGACGAGAGAGAGGAGCAGAGGGTTAGAGCAGCTCTGGGCCAGGGAGGGGTCCCTACCAAAGTAGCTGTTGGCAGGGACTGGGATGAGACGGGGGTCCTGCTCCTTCTCACCCCCCGCCTCGTAGGGCCCGTCGTCCAGGTCTGCCAGGTCCGCTGAGCTCTGCACACAGAGCTCCACCCTGGCTGTGCCTGCAAGGACAGTCCTGTTAGTGCCCACGGCAGGGAGCAAGGAGCATCCCTCAGGTCAGACACTGAATTACACAGGCACAGAGGGAAGTCCTTTCCCTCCTTTCCAGCCCACCTTCACCCCCTCCCCAGCCTAAGCTTCCCAGGGCCTCCCAGACTTGACATCACACTCACCAGAAGTTGGCTCAGCCAGCAGCACCGTGCAAAGATGGGAATGGCAGTGATGAGGTGTGGGCTGGTGTGCTGGAGCATGCAGGCCCCAGCTGGGTGGGCCAGACCAGCGTGCATAGGGGCTCATGCCAGCATGTTGAGGGACACTTGCCGTGCAAGGGAGAGGACGTACCGCCATTCATGTGTGTGCTAGCGCAATAAAGGTGGAGGGCATGGCAGTGCCCCAGGCTACATGGCAGTGAATGTGTGGTCGTGCTTGGCCATGTGCTGCCCCCAACCCTGCCTCTGGGGTAGGAGAAGGTTCTAGTTCCCTTCTCCCCTCCTTGAGGAGTAACTCACCCTTCCAATTATAGGTGCCTGGGGCCCCAAAGAGAAGGTAGTGGTTGTCAGGGGAGAAGGCGGCAGCTGTGCCCTGCTGGCAGAATCCAAATTGTTCGTGGCCTTGGGGGCGCCCCTCACAGAACTTCCATTCTCCACCATCCAATTCGTCGTGGATAGCCAGGTCCTGGCTCAGTACGAAGCAGCGCCCAATCACATCCCGCGTCTCCAGGATCTGGTCTACTCGCTGCCTTGCCTCATATAGGTGTGCACAGGTCTATGAGAGAAAGGGATGAGGGGCCAGGGACCTGCTTGAGGCATGCTACCCAGGTGCAGACATTTGGCAGACATGGTACATGTGTGTACGCACACACACACACACCTATTCTGGTGTCAAGCACCATTACCCAGACAATGTTAGGCAGCATCCCTTCCACACACCCCTCCTTGACCTCACAGGAAGACATCCTTGTTCCACATCCTGCCTGATGTGGAACATTACTAAGCCAGCACACAGGATGTGTGACTCCCCTATCATGTGACAGGCCTCCAAAATGCACTTGGTCCTGTCCCTGGACCTCTTTAATGGCCATCACCTCATCTGCAAAGAACTTCTTCCCGGCTCCACTCTCCAAGTGTTACCTATTCTTAAAAGCCTGGTTCTGCCTGGCACCTGTAGCTCAGTAGCTAGGGCACCAACCACATACACTGGAGCTGGCGAGTTCAAACCCATCCCAGGCCTGCAACAATGACAACTACAACAACAACAAAAAAAATAGATGGGCGTTGTGGCAGGCGCCTGTAGTCCCAGCTACTCAGGAGGCTGAGGCAAGAGAATCACTTAAGCCCAGGAGTTTGAGGCTGCTGTGAGCTGTGACACAATGGCACTCTACCGAGGGTAACAAAGTGAGATTCTGTCTAAAAAAAAAAAAAAAGCTAAAAAAAAAGTCTGGTTCAAGGCCAGGTGCTATGGCTCACCTATGCGCCAGGCTAGGCAAGTCACATGCATTGTTTCATTTACTCTTCACAACAATCTTATAAGATAAGGATTCTTTTCTTATCTTTCAGATGAAGAAACCCATTGTATTCTGGGAGGCCAAGGCAGGTGAATTGCCTGAACTCAGTTTGAGACCAGCCTGAGCAAAAGCGAGACCCCATTTCTAAAAAAAAAATAGCTGGGAGTGGTGCTGGGCACCTGTAGTCCCAGTTACTCAGGAGGCTAAGGCAAGAAGATTGCTTCAACCCAGGAGTTTGTTTGAGGTTGCTATGAACTATGATGCCACAGCACTCTACCAAAGATAACAAAGTGAGACTGTCTCAAAAAAAAAAAAAGCCTGCTTCAAATCATCCCACCTGCACCAGTCTCCCTACACTCCTCCTTTGGACTGTTATAGACTGGAGACTAGACCAGTCACTTCACAGTAACCATACTCTGCCCCATAGCAACGTGTGTTGGTAATTGTGTGTCCATGCATTAGTAAAAGATATAAAGAGAGAGAAACAGAGAGACATGTTTCACAGTTTGTTTTTGTCTTTTTTTTTGAGACAGAGTATCACTATGTCACCCTCGATAGAGTGCTGTGGTGTCACACCTCACAGCAACCTCAACTCTTGAGCTTAAGCGATTCTCTTGCCTCCGCCTCCCAAATATCTGGTACTACAGGCACCTGCCACAACACCCAGCTATTTTTTTGTTCTGTTTTGTTGTAGTTGTTATTGTTGCTTGGCAGGCCTGGGCCTGGTTTGAACCCGCCAGCCCCAGTGTATGTGGCTGGCGGCCTAGCTGCTGAGTTACAAGTTCCAAACTGTTTTTTTTGTTTGTTTATTTGTTTGTTTGTTTGTTTTGAGACAGAGTCTACTGTCACCCTGGGTAGAATGCCATGGAGCGTCATAGCTCACAGCAACCTCCAACTCTTGGGTTCAAACGATCCTGTAGTCACAGTTTTTCTATTTTAGTAGAAGCGAGGCCTTGATTTTTTGCTCAGGCTGGTCTTGAACTCGTGAGCTCAAGCAATCCACCCACCTCAGCCTCCCAGAGTGCTAGGATTACAGGCTTGAGCCACTGTGCCTGGCCTGTTTCACAATTTTTTAATTTTTTTTATTTTATTTTTGTTTTTTGTAGAGACAGGACCTCTATATGTTGCCCAGACTGGTCTTAAACTCCTGGACTCGAACAATCCTCCCATCTCAGCCTCCCAAATTGCTAGGATTACAAAAGTAGAAATACATGGTGCTGAGCCACTCACACTTTTCTTTCTTTCTTTTTTTTTTAATGGAGCCTCAAGCTATCCCCCTGGGCAGAGTACCATGGCACCACAGCTCACAGCAACCTCCAGCTCCTGGGCTCAAGCGAGTCTCCTGCCTCAGCCTCCCAAGTAGCTGGG